CAAGTAAATATATACAAAACCTTGTATATTTTAGGTAGGCATTGAAGTACAGGTCAGTAATATACACTATTTGGTAGACTAAGGCATGAGCATTAAAAATGGAAAGTTTTTCTCTGCTTTGGAGAGTTTTCAGGTAAAGAATGGATAACAATCGGATGGTCTCACAATTTAAAGTTATTCCTTAAAAATGAAGGACTGGGAACACAGATCAGTTGTAGACAAAACATACACACCTGCAATTAGCATTTGGTGTAAACAGACTTACAAAGCTGAGCAGGGGTTTAAGTACTTGAAAAACTCAGTGGGAATAATGACACACACAGATTCAATGTTTATGAAAATGTATATAAATGGGGATGAAGAACGTGAAGACCATTATTTCTTTAATTTCCTGGGTAATTCTATTTATAGTTTAATCCTTCATAATCTTTCTGCAATTCACAAAAGTAAATTTAATATATTGACAATGTATTTACAAAAAAAAATCATTTTCTCTTCTGGCTATATACATTAAAACTTTTCAGTTAAATAAAAAAACGCATTTATATACAAAACCTTATTTTAAATTTATTTGAATGATCATTAAGAAACCTGGCATCAAAATTATTTCACAATAGTAATTCAAATAGGTGTGCCCTAAATTTTCATGCTATAATTACATAAATACATAAAGAAAATATTTTCTAATTAAAAATAAAATATCTCTTTCTTGTAATAATAAAAGTATCCCTGTAAGTTGTGAGTTAAATTTGGAGATCATACATGCCAACATTATATGGGATAACATACTCTCAAAAAGCATAGTTAGCTAAATTCCAGAGGCAATACCAGGTGCATGAAGAAAAATATTCCTTCTTAAACAAAGAAAACATAAGGAGAAAATTATATTGTCACCATTTTAATTTTATGTCTTTGTAATTACAGTGGAAACAGTCAAGTTGAGATGAGGGAGAACAACAAATCTTTAATAACAGAGTTCATCCTGGTGGGATTCACAGATCAACAAAACCTGAAGACCCTCTTGTTCCTGGTGTTCTTTGCCATCTATTTGATCACCATGGTGGGGAATCTCGGGCTGGTGGTCTTGATCTACATGGAACGCCGTCTTCACACACCCATGTACATCTTTTTGGGCAACCTGGCCCTCATGGATTCCTGCTGCTCCTGTGCCATCACGCCCAAGATGCTACAGAACTTCTTTTCTGTGGACAGAAAGATGTCTCTTTATGAATGCATGGCACAGTTCTATTTTTTTAGTCTTGCTGAAACTGCAGATTGCTTTTTTCTGGCAACAATGGCCTATGACCGCTATGTGGCCATATGCAATCCACTACAGTACCATACTATGATGTCCAAGAAAATATGCCTTCAGATGATCACAGGAACCTACATAGCAGGAAACCTTCATTCAATCATTCATGTAGGGTTGTTGTTTAGGTTAACTTTCTGTAAGTCTAATGTGATCAATCATTTTTATTGTGATGTCTTTCCATTATATAGACTCTCATGTGTTGACCCTTATATCAATGAACTGGTGATGCTCATCTTGTCTAGTTCAATTCAAACTTTTAGCATTACTGTAGTCCTGATATCATATTTCTATATCCTTTTTACTTTATTCACAATGAAATCTAATGAGGGTAGAGGGAAAGCCTTATCAACTTGTGCTTCCCACTTTCTGTCTGTATCCATATTCTATGGTTCTCTTCTCTACATGTATGCCCATCCACATTCCGTCAATGAAGGAGATAATGATATACCTGTAGCTGTTTTCTATACCCTAGTAATTCCTTTATTAAACCCTTTCATTTACAGTCTGAGAAATAAAGAAGTAATAAATGTGATGAAAAGAACCATGAAGAAGAGATGATTCTGCAACATTTGTCAACAAATACAAGATCCATTGGATCACTATCTAAAGATGAAAATGCCCTTTTCTAAATGCACATATAAAAGAATGTGATAATATGAAAAAGTTAATTTTATCACTTTGTGAAAGCATAAGAATATTTGAAAAAATAGTTCATAACAAAATTCTTTTAAAATATATTTGAAATTCTCAGGAAATAATAAAGATATGTTAAAGTATTGGATTATCTATTCTCAATTTTCAACACATGTAATCAATTTTAGGAGTAAAGGTTAGTAGCTTAATAGCATTTATTAATATCATTAGGAAGTTTATCAATTTCAGGTCTTAAAAGTTCAAGCAAATTGCCAAATTACAAGCTTTATTTATCATCATATCTTAATCATTTATATCAATGGTGCAAATTTATTTTTGGATCAATGCTTTTCAACTTGGTACTTTTTCATCCAAGTGATTCTATTTTAATGTGTACTCATCCAAAATATTTATTTTCTAACAAAAATATATTCATATTTTATTAGTCATTTATTTTTCACATTTTCTGAACTACAAAAGGTGTTTAAGACTTATCAATGTGTGCTTAAAAATAATGCCATTTTACAATGAAATTTAGATGTGTTTTAATTTTTAAATTATTTGATTATTTGCCCATCATATATGACACTGGAACTCCAAAATGTATCTATTAGATGTAGACTAAATTTTTTTATGCTCAATGACATTATCATTGTTGGTTGGTTGTTAGGAATAGCAACACATTCACCAATTCAAATGAAAATCATCGATATGTTTATTAATTTTAAAATAATGAGAAGTCACTCAAGTCTAACAGCTGAGAACTATTGAAAACTCTAAATATCTTAAAAGAAATAGCTATTTAATATAAAAGAAAAAGAATTGCCCTAAAATGTACTATTTATTGTCTGAAGCTTTTAATATTTATCTCCTAGTTATTAATCAGACATCCTTTTATGTTTTCAAGGAATAAACATATCTTAAGATGCATTATTCAGTACTTTTCCCATTCACACTCTGATTCTGACAAGAGTTTGAAATAATATTGCCTATTCTCTAAATGCTTGAAACCTGTTAAAATGGAGATTATCTTTAAGTGCTTCAACCATTCAGAAAGAACTACAGGCAAATGAGGAATGCTGAGTATAGGAGAAATAGTCTCTCCAAAGGAAGAAGACACCAGTTGGTTATCCAGCACTAAATGGTCAGCAATGAATCATATGTATATATGTGTGTCTGTGTGTGTGTGCGTGCACATTGTTTTATATATTAATACAAATTCTTATATATAACAATAAATCGACTAAGCAGGTTATATTATATATTAAGGTATACTCCCTCACTATACATGTTTTTGTTTTAGTTAATGGTAAATGACGCCTCATGTTTTGCTTGTTTGGGTAATAAGGAGAAGTGTTTGTTTGCATGACTCTTAAGTCAAACACCTGAAGTATCACTCATATTTCTGATATTTCCTTTCATTTGAGGAGAGTAATCTCATTGAACAATGATAACTAGTGAGTCTGAGTTCATCAAATATTAAAAAGAGAAAATTCTTTGACAAATGCTGAGGACCTAAATATTTAGTAGGCAGTTTGACAGCATAACCTTTTATCAAAACAAAAATAATGGGTCCATCCATAGTGTCTGTGAACACCCATAGGTCTTTGGTCAGATCCACAGTACTAGGCATGAATTCCCTCTACCAAAGCAAGTCTCAGACCCAATCAAACTCTGTTAGCTGCTCTAATCATAGTTCTGCCACTATTGTATTAGTAATACATCTTGTTTGTCAATTTGGTACTATAACCACGAAATGTCCAAAACTCAGAAAAAAACTATTTTTCCTAATTTTTAGTTACCAGTTGTGTGTGTAGCATTAGACATCTGGGGGGGGGATACTTCCAGTGTACTTTCCCTCTATTCTGCAACCATGCAGTTCTGGAGAACAACCAAGGGCAAAAACCATAACATGTGCAGCTTGGTAGAGCCTCTGGTATAGGCGGCAACTGTCCATTCATTTCCCAGCTGCCCAGACCCAAATAATAACACAGAAACTATACTAATTAAAATACTACTTGGTCAGTGGCTTAGGCTTCTTATTAACTTACTCTTACATCTAAAATTAACCCATTTCTATTAACCTATACATCTTTATTTAAGGCTATGGCTTACAGGGTAAAGTTTATTGTGTCTATCTCTTTGGCAGCTACATCTACATGGTGTCTCATTGACTCCACCAGTTTTCTTTCTCTCAACCTATTTTCTGATTTCTCACCTGGCTTTACTTTTCTAAGCCACTGTATCAAACAGCTTGATTGATCAACCAACAAATCAACACATATACAGAAGGACATCCCACATCATTTCCTCATGGTTTGATAAAATTAATTTTTCTATAATGCTAGCAATGTTTTGTTCCATTTGTTTATCTAGCAACTCATAAGTTCTTTTCATCTTGTTAGAGGAAATGCTTGGTTATTTTAAAATCTATTTTAAAACTCTGTTCATTGGATATTCATATTTCTGACCAAAATCTAGTCTATAAGGATGGGCATCCCATGGTATGCATTTTGATCACTCTGACTGTAATTCTATCTGTTGCCAAAAGGATCATCACAAAGGAGCTTTTTGGTTAGGTGTGAGAATCCCTCTTATCTGTGGAAATAAGGCTCAGCAATAAGAATGTGGTTAGAATTATGCATGTTTGTGCAAGTGGAGTAGTATGCTTGTCTCTAAGATTTGTCACTTCTCCGACCACCAGTGGTTAGCTAAGTTTACTTTTTTTCAAGAAATGCTTTTTTCAAGATGTAATTTTTTGTATTCATATTTATATTTTTCTTGTTGTTTCAATTGCTTTATCCCCGTTCTTTTCTCCCCTTTCCTTGTTTCCTTTCTCTTTTTCTGTTTTTCATATTAACAACACTTCTTATTGTGTGTTTGTGTCTATATGCGTACCTGTCTGTATGTGTGAATGTGTATACATTTGTGTGTGTATATATACAAAGATAATAGACAACCTCAAGTATCTCAGTGTCATTCCTGAGGAACCCTCTACCTCTTTATCAACGACATAGGATCTGCCACTATACTTGAGCACAGTGGGCAGACTAAACTACTTGTCCTCTCTACTCCACAATCTTTGGCTGTCCCCACTTCTCTACAGCTCCAGCTGTATCCATAACCATGAAACTTTTCCTATTCTTATTCCTATCCATACTCCAATCCTACCTCTCTATATATATATCTGTGTGACTCCATCCCTCATCTACCTCAATATAAGATGTTCCTCTGCTTGTACGTCACATGTTGAATTGTACTGGAGACGGAGTTTTATTCATTTTCACCCCTGATTTCATTGTGAGCTTCTCATCCAAAACCATTTTTACAATCCAAACTTTTATCTCCAACAGGTTTGTTCCCATGCCCATTATACTCACCAACCTTCCCAGTATCCTGATTCTAGTTTAGTTATAGAGTCAGTGCATATATTTAAAGGACTTAGATCACTTTGCTGCAGAGCCACTATATAGCTAATGACTGACTCCTGACTTACAACTATCTTATAAGAATTGCAGTGCTGAGAAACACAAAAAAGTTTGCCAATTGTCTCAGTGTGGGGGTGCACCCCTCGCGGTCCTGAGTTCCTTGCTCGTGCTCTCTCTCCTTCTGCTCCTGATTTGGACCTTGGGATTTCAGTCCGGTGCTCCAATGTGGGGCTCTGTCTCTGTCTCCTTTCATCGTCTGATGAAGGTTAATATCCAGGAGGATGCCTATATGTTTTTCTTTGGGTTCACCTTCTTATTTAGCTTCTCTTGGATCACGAATTATAGGCCAAGGCCAGCTGGCCTGGGTCTGAAAAACCATGGGATAAAACCGGACTCACTGAACATAGTAGACAATGAGGACTACTGATAACTCAAGAACAATGGCACTGGGTTTTGATCCTACTGCACGTATTGGCTTTGTAGGAGCCTAGGCAGTTTGGATGCTCACCTTACTAGACCTGGAAGCAGGTGGGTGGTCCTTCCTTGGACTTCCCACAGGGCAGGGAACCCTGATTGCTCTTCGGGTTGATGAGGGAGGGGGACTTGATTGGGGGAGGG